GATGCACGGAACATACGAAACGTCATCCGTTTTTTCCTCTTTCCAGGAATGCGTTTATAAGGGTCCAGTTGTTCAAAGGCCGATTAGCGCCAACCTGAGGTGAAATTTTAATCCGGGTTTCTTTTCCTTTAATTCGAAAGTATTTTCTCGGGTAATTTTCTCTATTCTTTTAAGATCATCCAATCATCATATTGTAGACAAAAACAATTACACTAAATATGCTTTTTAAGCTTTCAAATCTGAATTCAAAATTTGCACTAATCCTGGGTTATCTTAACCCAGCTTTGAACAACTCGGCCCTTCTGTTTATCACCTCACTTTGCTTTTTGTTTCTTCTTAAGCTAAGATGGCCAAAAACACAAAAAAATTCTACGATTTTTTTCATTTTGTTCTGTTTTTTCCTAATTTCGGCAGGGTTTTTTGCTGTTTTCAATCCTTTCACGAGATTTTGCAATTGTTCATCTTCTTAAGGTTCCTTCTTTTTAACGTGTTCAAATTATGGGCATATCTCCTCAAGACCCTCTCTCACTGTATGTTAATATTTCATTCAGTTCATCCATATCGTTACAATTAACCCCACTTACAGCAGTATCCAGATATTCAGAGAGTTTTCTTCAGTTTAGGGTCACTCCGTAGTGACTGAAGGTGGAGGCTTGGTTCACGAACTGTAGAAGTTACTGCTCTGCTCAGTTTGAATTTTAGCTAACGCTTCGTTTTTGGAAAGGATACGTCCATGAGCACAATTCTGTGGTCAGTATCAAAATGCGTTGATGATCCAATGAACACCCTGCATGACTTTACCATTTTAAATAGCCAGTTACACAAGTGCAGATATAGTCTCAGTCCTCTATATTTGCTAGGGGCAGCATGCTTCCAAATTTCACGATGTATTTATTCGTTTTGTTCTGAATATGGAGTTGGTGATCTTTATATTGTTTTCCAAACACCATTTCAGTAATCCTTCACCATTTTCAGTTGTGTCGATCTTGTCAGCGTTGTTGTGGCCTAGTATTGAGCGCCATGAGACACTATCTTTACTTTTGGTAGAGATAGAGGCATTTAAGTCACCTAATGTTATACCGACTTATAGCTTGGAATGTGATCGAGTTCTTTATTCACTTTGTTTAGGGCTGTATAGAGGGCATTCTTAGTCGATTCAGATTGGGTTGCGTCTGTTGGTGCATATCCGTTTATAATACCTAATCTTAAGTTCTTACCACGGAGTTTAGCTGAAATTATTCGTGCAGCCAGGTGTTCCTTGTAAGCTTCCAGCTTCACATCAGGGGCCATGAGTATACCTACTCCATATTCCTTCTTTTTTGGAGACCACTTCATATCCATTGACAACCTTTCAACGAATCATCATCAAATACTAAGTTCCCGGCAGATGTTCTCCGTGTTTCCTGCTAGGATATATTTTTTCAGGTCAATAGCCGCTTTCAGTATCAGTGTAAGTTTGATGCCTTCTTGCAGTGATCGTACCTTTATTGTCCACCTGTGCCAGTGTGCACGTGGACGATACCGTTAATAAGGTCGGCAAATATGTCAGTTCAGGGCATTCGAATGAGGAAAATCCTTGCTGAGTGTGAAGCCCAGTTTGAGAAGAGGTATAGACACATCAGGCTGTATTAAGCCTCCATTCAAGTGCACAGCCCATCTTCCTGAAGGCAAGACCCGTTCCATGTGCTCTTAAAGAAAAGGTAGAGCAGGAGCTTCAAAGACTGGAGGATGAAGGAATTATTTACAAAGTGACTGAAAGGACTGGGCTGCCCCAATAGTGTTGGTCGCCAAGAGAAAGATGGTTCACTGAGAGTGTGTAACGAGGTGTGTGCTGATTTCGACCAGTACTTACCTAATACAGAAGATTTGTTTGCGACGTTAGCTGGTGGACAAAAAACAAAATTAGCAAGATTGATTTATCTCACGCCTATAAGCAGGTTGAGCTGGATGAAGATTTACAGAAGTACCTAACAATTATCACACACAAGGGTTTGTACCGTTACAAACGGCTACCCGCCGTTTGAAGTCTCAGTGCACCAGCAATTTCAAGCCAAGAGTCCTACCAATGTCACGGAGTTAAAGTCGTACCTGGGACTTCTCACCTATTCTGGCAAGTGCTTGCCCAATCTGGCGACTACGCTGCCTACCCACCATGACCTTTTGCAAAAGGAGAGACCTTGGAGGTGGACGGAGGGGTGCGAGAGAGCGTTTTTCAAGAGTAAGAAGCAGTTACAAGATTCTCCTTTGCTGGTCCATTATGACCTGAAGAAGCCGCTTCTGCTCGCCTGTGATGCAACACCTTACGGGGTAGGAGCTGTTATCTCCCATTTTATGGAGAATGGCGAGGAAACGCCTATTGCTTTTGCCTCTCGAACTCTCACAGCTAGTGAGGGTAACTATTTCCATATAGAGAAAGAGGCTTTATCCATCGTGTTTGGACTGAAAAAGTTCCATTCGTATCTGTATGGTCTCGGACGTTTACATTCCTTACAGATCATCAGCCGCTGCTCACGATTTTTCAGAAACTATATAGAAATATAGATTTTTTTTCCATATTTCAGCTCTACATGTATGCACGGGCATATGTGTGTATATGGACGCTACAATCCTGTCGAATTGATGAAGTTAACCAAAGAAATTCAGCTTAACAAAATTATTTTATCACTTTACTAAGGTGTTTGTGCTAAATTAAATCAAAGTTTATTGTTTCATAATCGGATCTAGTTTGTTTAAGTTGAAGTTTGGCCTCACCCTGTGCGCTGTCTTTTTCGCCACTTTATGGCCGACCAAGATGGATGGAGGATTCTTTAACAAGAAGGTCTTCGAGAAGAAATTGCAGTTATATTACTTTATTAGAAAACTGATTTGAAAAGCGAATCTTGGTTTAATTAAAATGTTTTTGCTGACAAGTTTTACTTGCACGCAGTGTTTAGTCTCACTATGTTCTTACACTACATCAAGTTTATTTTGAAGAGAGACCTCGTGTCCTTGGCCTTGCCCACAGTAAAAAAAAAAGCTGGTACCAAACTGATCTGCTTCAGCTTGAACTAGAAATTCCAAAAAAAACAATCGTTTTCGTTCGATCATGAAACTTGCTGATTTGCTGAATGCGGGTTAACATGCAAGATTCCTTTACAGATGTTATATCACATGCATGCTGAGTAATTCCACATATGTTGAATTCCGCGATCAGCAGTGGATTATTTGCGACAAATCCTCGAGGTTATCACACTCAAAGTGGCAAAATTCAAAATGACCTTTAAATAGTTTCACAAAAGTAACATTTGGTACGTCGTGGTCAAATTCCTGAAAGGCGAAATAAAAAGCTTCTTGTCTTCAGATAAAAAATGAATCGAGAACAGAGCTTTTAGTAAGCAGGTCTGTTAAAATTTAATTAAAGCAGAGGGGTTAAAATGGTGGCGTAATTTTGATCTTAATCTGTGAATCTTGGTTTAAGAAAGTAGGAAAACAGCGCGAACCTTGCCAGACAGACTCATAGATAACGCGATAAACTCTGCATTATGCTTCACAATACAAAGGTGTTTTACAAAGGTTTTCAGGGATTTCTTCCAAAACGTGATGAAATTCTCAAAATCTGTTCCAGCAAAATTCCTCTAGTTGTGTAAAAATAGAAACATCTTTGATCAATTGTAATACCGCACTGCGCGCAACTAATAAATGCTTTTTACCGAATCGGCAAAAAGAAAAAAATAATAAAATAAATAAATAAATAATAACAATTGAATCCGTTGCGATGATTTTCAGACCTTTTCATAAAGAAGTTTTACTAAATTCTGCTAAATCTTTGATGGTCCAAATAAGGAGTGATACAATCTAACATTACCTTTATGTTCATACATATATTTCTATTTACAACTACGACCCCATCTACAGTCTTGGACAGAATGAAATGGAACAGACCTCCCCCCCCCACCCCCCGAAAAAGAAGCCACGCAATAGCCAAAACGAGCCATTTTCCCATCCTTGATGCTTATCGCAAACACGCTGCCACATTTACTATAGACTGGAAAAGGCGGACTACGAGCAGTCTACATTTACCAGTAATCTGCGAGCTGGCGGTTCACTTTTTTAGGGGTGGGAGGGATAGATGGATAGGCTTAATTAAAAAAAAAAAAAAAAAACGATTCTTACGGTAAATTCACTTAGCGTCGTACCACATGATGCCATAGAATGAGGGATGATGGTGAAAAGTGAAAAAGAGGAATGTAGCAATGAGCTAGGAATAACACTGACAATAAACAAGAAAATTAGAAAATTTCAACGCCGATAAAGTTTCATAGGCATGTTTTTTTAGAAAATATTTCCGTTTGAACGATCTTTCGGTTTTAAAAAGGCAAACCATTGTCCCTTTGTTATTGTGGATTTTTAAACGATATAGTGGTGTTATGAAAGGTTTGGCTTCTATAGAAAGTTTCTGACCCAGTGCACTGAGTTCACTGCATGTAAAACGAGTGTTTTACAGCTGCTCTGAATTTAAGTTGGTACAAGTTGATTACAGTTACATAGGCAAAATTAATGTTTATTTAAAGCAATCAACACTTTTATCTACATCTGTCCAACTTGTTCAAATATTTTTGCTTTTCTGTTAGCAATGTTAAGTATGTAACTGATCAGAAGTCGACTTCCTCTGCCCTTTAGATTGAACATCAAGATTACTGCTCAGGTGACATGACATAATCAGTCCTCAAAAGAAATATTTTACGAGTCAATTAAAAGTTCCAAAAATCAATTTTATCAATTTACCATGATCTCAGTTTTGCGAGAGAAATTAAAAGCAGATGAATCATCAAGTAAAACCGCCAGGGTAAATATGCTTTTTGGAAAGCAGCGGGTGGTGTATGCGTAGCTAATTTCTAAAGCTTCTTAGAATAACTGCATTGTAGTTTTGACAGATAATGGGACCAAATTCAACAAGATAAACTATGACAGCCCATTCACATACCCAGTTATCAATCTGCTGTCGGCAAATATTACAATACAATACTGACGGCAGGCAGCTTTGTGCGGCCAGTCAGAAAGCATCAGGATTCAACAGATATAGACCCTCTGGAGCGAAAAGGGACTTAGAAATGATTAACAAGCTTACTTTTGTCGTCGTTTTAACGGTTTTGCTTTCACATAATGCTGGTAAGTAATAATTAGATTCTGAGTTTTATGAGTAAAAAGGTTAGTCTTATAAAGCGTGTTAGTGTTCACTAACCTCTTGTTTTCTAAAAAACCGCGGGCAACAAGAAACATTTGTGTGTTTGCTTTACATAAAATTCTGTGTAGAGTAAATACATGTTCATTTCCATAAATATTAAGTGATAAAGCTACTCTGTGTACCATATCTCGAAAACAGAACATTTTAAGGGTCTGATAATGCCCATTTGGTCTTCTATAACAACGTCATGAAACACTAAAAAAGTTAACTTCCTCAGTATTTATTTTGCTATAAAAGGAATGCATATGTAGAGATGTAATTAATGGTTCGTTTCGTGTTGATCGATCGCAACCCCTGCGCAAGAAAGGGTTTACTTTAACAAGTCTAATAATGCCTTTCCAAGAGGGTGGTTGATGAAATTTAACCTTGAAAGATTGCCAAATATCCTAACCTTTAGGGTACGAATATATTAAGAAAATTTGTTTCATTTCACTTGTGAATCAAAATGTTATCGTAAAGGAACTACGTGCCAAACTACAGCAGACCATATCTTTTAAGAAACAAATCACGGAGATCTACTGTGAAATTCGTCTGAGATGCTCGTCCTTTCAGATTTATGTGTCCTAAACACAACTAACCGGTTACGAAACAATCAAAAACCGAAATGTTAGAATTTAAGTCTGACTGGAAGAGTCCACCTGGTAGATCCTCTTGGCGTTGCTGTTATTTTAGAGGCCGCATTCAAAAGCTCAAACAAGTTTGCATGCAACCTTCATATATCAACATTTGTATGACCATCACTTCTGTACTGTACTACTGTAGTAGTATGCTGTACTGTACACAGGTTCTGTTTTGTGTCATCCTTGTGCATCTGTTTTTTCTTTTAGCAGCTGTAAAGAGATAAAAAATTTAGTTTGAAAAGAATATGCCAGCAGGAAGTTGAATTTTTTACTAAAGTAATATTTGCATGTCCCTTTTTTTTCTATCTCGGAAAAGTCCGTTATTTAAGTCACCGCATCCGTGATCCGGTTATCAACACAAAAACAGGAGTTTTGAGTGAAATCCTGATCACTGTATAGATTTCCTGGATCAAGAATTAAGACAGTCGTTTATTTCGAACTAGGGCGCGCAGTTCTCTTCTCGATTTTATAAGTTGTAATAAATTCACAGCTAATACGTTTAAAAATGCTTTCGCAAAGTTATTTAAAATTCTTAAGAGGCCAAACCTGCCCAGTTCGTGATGACAGTAACAAGCGATAAGATTTTTAAGGATAGCTGTACTAAACAAAATGATAAAGGATAACTGATTCCATGGGTACGCACAAACGTGCAGAGGATGGAATAGAAGTATGATAGTTTCCCACCGAATAATTACTCTTTGATTTAAAGTGAGTAAATTACTGTTTGCCCCATTGCACTGCATTTTCCTTCTTGGGTACCTCTGATGTTAAATATTTTCCAACTTTCGGTAAGGAAATAAAGGAACGTGATATATGATACGACATTGTATATTTATTTATTGACTTGGCCTTTACTTTGTTTTGAATTAGTTCTGCCAATGAACGCAATGAACTGCTCTTTGTAACTCCAACCGTTCGGTCTTTACAGTTTGGCAACATATAGTTGCTTCTTCAAGTTTTGCGAACATTTCAGCCAAGAGGGGAGGGTAAAAATGGAAAGGTTCGTATAAAACACAGATGTTTCAGATAAAATGTTTCGGGTTTAAAAGGCACGTTGACTCGTCCCAATTTCGCCCCGTTCCGGTTCAAGATAGGTCCATGGGCAGCCCTTGTGCTCTTTCGTAACGGAGCAGATCAGAAAAGTTGGTTCTGCATCCGCATTTTTTTTTTTGTTTCCTTGTCAATGTGTCTGGACGGTTTTTATTTCCAACTCTCTCCCTTTCTATGCAGTCCGGTCTCTTGTTCCTCCTGCGAGAAGAAACCGTTCAGGGAGTTCCGGCTCATTTTGAAATAACATTTTGTGTCTTAAAATAACATAAACAGGGCACCTTACTTAAACATTCTGGGTCAGAAATGTCTCAACAAAATCATTGTTGGCTTAATCATCTTTTTCTTTATGGATAAAGACGTCTAAATATAACCGGCATCATTAAACCATCGGAAAATACTTAGTTACGAACTTTTGTTTAGACTTAATCTAAGTTTGTGAAACTGTCCTTCTGGAGTTTTGTGGTAACTCGCTGACTAGACCCTAGCCCTTAAGATTCATAGTTACAACACCAGATTTGTATCCGCTTAGTTTTCATCGCTCGTCTCTTGGCCAAGGAAGGAGCTGTCAGTTTTACTTTTCTTGGATCTAAAATCTGAGAAACATTCCCTCTGAATCGAACGAATGTAAAATTGTAGACATCCAAAACTGGTAGAAGGTAATAGGAAGATAAATACTGTTTTGGTTGCCAAAATTCATCCTAGTACTTTCTAAGTGTACTTTATCGAAATAAATGTCTTAAAGTATCTACTTGTAGTGGAGAAAAATTGGGAACCAAACTTAACGTGCTTTATTTTAAACGTGCTTTAATTTTTGGGCGATTGAATGTGGTCACAATTCACATTCTCGTAACCTGAGATCAGTCGTTACTTATTTATTTATTTATTTATTTGCTTCTTTGCTTCTTCGGCTCGAGAGGGGAAAAAAAATAACCGAAAACAGATTACAGAGATAAAGGGAGAGGGCATAATCGCGGGCTTACATTCTCGGCGATCACTAGTTTTGAAAAGATGGTTGATTGTTATCGAAATCGTTACTATGTCTAAATTTATGTATTATTTTAAGCTAACATGCAATCGAAATCGTTTTGCTTATTACAGCGGCCAACAACGCTTTTTCGACTCATCCCACAACGAAGGAACCTTCATCCGAGCGACCAGAAACTCAGCAACCAGTTACTACTCGATCAATACGGCATGCCTCTTCAACCAAGGGAATAACGCACATGTCTCCTGAACGCGTGGAACTGTCATTGTTTCGTGATTTGTTTGACGGTTATGATAAACGCATCAGACCAGTGTTAAGAATGGAAGACAATGTGACAGTAGAACTTGGAATTTCCCTGTTCCAGCTTATTGATCTTGTAAGTATGAGAAACGAACAAAACTATCACAGTTTTAAACAAAACTATGTAAGAGTAACTACAGGCTCGGTAAACGGCTGACGTCCAAACGTTTTGGCCTTTTCTTGACGTCATCAGGGGCACCCAACGACAATTTTCGGAAAATTATCTGTTCGGAAGACGATTTGAGATCTAGAATTTTCTGATCATTTTCTGTAAAATTTCTTGCTTCCCTGCCTCTCCTAGGATTTTCGAACATCAAAAAAGTGGTATAATTGCCCATTTTTAACGGATTTTTACCCTAAAAAGGTCACATAGAATTTTCGGGAGCCTTTTTTCCGGCTGAAATTTTCGAAAAGGTAAATTTTGATCCCTATAATTTTCGGATTACTATACTTTCAGCTAGGAAATCCGAACAGATGAAAAATTTTAAGGGGATAAAAATAAGCCTTTATCTACCGTTTAAATACTAAAGTACGTTCAACAATGCTATGTTTATGTGGTTTTGAACTATATTCTCGTTTAAATACTAAACCTCGAAAAAATACGTTCAACAATGCTATGTTTATGTGGTTTTTTTTCAACGTTATATTGTTAGGGATATATCGCTGACCCTGGGTCATTTAAATATCCGCAATTTTGAAAAGAACCAAACGTCAAGAAAAAATTATAGCACGGAACGACACGTTCCCCAACCTTTACGATGCACTAGTTTATGAGCGAAAATTTAAGAGTGAATATTTGAGAGACAAATTTACGAGCGATCACTTAAGAGTGAACCTTCCATCGTGAAACTTATCGAGAAATTGAGTGAACCTTCCATCGTGAAATTTATCGAGAATCAAAGCGAACACTTATCAAAATTTGTCTTCAAAAAGATTTCAATGATTGACATACCGAAGTCTTCAAAGCTCCATCGCTATGTTAGTAAGGTGAGAAAACTTTATCATGCACGATATAAATGTAATAACAAACGCGATCCAAAGATAATTAACTTAAATAAAATGGCTATACCCAAGAAAGCTTATTTGTTGTCTTTCTTTAGCAGGCATTATCACAGGATAATGAAACTAAAATGTAAAGCACGTCGATACTTATCATTGTTTTCTTGCAATTGTGTGAGTCATATGACCAATTATGTGAATTTCAAACTAAGTAAAGATGTTGAGAAGAATTCAGGACCTACTCAATACAACACTGATCATCATGAAGTAATAATTAGACCTTCTACGCAAAATCACAGCTCAACAATGCAGTTGAACTCTCCTATTTCCTCTGAGAATTTGATGAAGTCTAGATTAGGTGCACTTTGTTTACAATCAAGAGATGTTGGCGGTGCAGGTGATTGTTTCTTTAGATCTGTATCACATCAATTATATGGCAATAGCAACCATCATATGCATATACGTACTGCTGCGGTTCAATTTATGAGAGGTAATCCAGAGAGATTTATTGAGAGCAATACCGAAAATTCATGGCTAAGATATCTGAGTAATATGTGTATTCAAGGTACATGGGCTGATGCACCTATCATTCAAGCAGTTGCAGATATGCTACTGTTTACCCAGTTCAGGAAAGAAATACTTCCTCTACAATTATTATAGGTCATATTGATGAATGCTACTATGTATCAACCACTGCCTTATAATCAAGTGCCTCCATTTCAATGTGCAATGAATTAACAAATGATACTCAGTCATCAATAAATAAGCATTTTATTATGTCTATATATAACACTGGATGGCATTTTTTACAGTGCAAGACAACAATCCATGACCACAAAGATCTATTTCAAAAATGTCTTATGTCTGTTATCATTTCAAATTCACAGTGTTTTCGCAAAAAATAGATAAATGTGATTAATAAATCTCAATGATAAACCTGATGATAACGTACTTGAGAAAATGTGAAATTGTGATAATTCTGTAACAAACTTCTTTGCAAACTTTGTCATTACCATTCAACCCAAAACTGTCAGTGATTTTTGCTTTTTCACTCAAACTTAAAAACAAATGAAAACCTTATACAGATCAGACTTATTGACATCACAGTGTTACTAAAAACACTACTATAACACAGACCGTTAGCTGTAATAACACTGAACAAACTTCCAACAACATCCTCCTTTCTCATGCATTTTGTTGCTTTTCTTCTGCATGAGTAAATTCAGACTAAGTATTAGCCTCCACAGAGGAGGGGGGAGGGGTGCAAGAGGTAAACTATATCTATGCAATCCCGTGTCCCACTGGGCCCCGGTAAGTTCCACGTAGTGGTTCTAGTTGTTTAGCTAAATTTCAAACTTCAACTTCATTTACGCGTTATATAATTTGTTTTCAGTAGTGTAAGGTTGCTCCTTTACTCCAAGAATCTCATTACTTTGCGCAGGAATACGTAGATGATGTTATAGCCTTTGTCTTTATCTCAGTCATGAACGAAATGTGTTGGATTCTCATTATCTCGTCTTTCTTGTACTTCTAATACAACAGCAACAATAGACTCACGCTGTTTCGCCTCTAGACCATACACTAACTGGCAATGTTCACACTACCTCGGATAGCTTTTTTTGTGGGCATGAATACCATATCACACATAGGAACGGTGATTTCTGCGCGATTGCTGTAACGGAGCGAAACTGCGCCGCGCCGATCTCTAAAGTGGAGAGTCATAGAGTCATTTATCGAATAGGTGTTCATACGATATACCGGATGGCTTTTGTTGTGGGCACGAAAAGCCATCTGTTATGGTGTGAACACAGCCTTAATCGTGAACGTTGGCTTGTAATGAACGTTTGATTGAACAGTGAAGAAAACACTTTTACGGATGTATTTGATATTACCAGTGACATCGGCAACTTCAGACCGCACATTTTCTGCCCTCAGGCGACTAAAGAACTACCCAGGAAGCATCATGAAGCAGGTCCGCCTATACAACTGCCAACTGATGCATTATCACAAATAGATTATGGACACACTAGACACTATGAAGATTGCAAAGAAGTTTGCTTGTGCCAACGAACAACTTTTAAAAAGAGCATTTTGGAAAATCTGAGTAGGGGTATGCGTATGGCTGAGTGAAAGATGAGCCCCCCAAGTCACAGGCGAGTTGGCACTTATTCCCTAGCTGAGTCTTTTATTTCTAATTTAATAGAAATACGAAAAAGAGAAGATAATGAGAATTCACAGCCTCTCTATTTATGAGATAAAGACAAAAGGCTATGACATCATTGACTTTATTATTCATCAAAATATTTCCCCAATTCTGATTGGCTAAAAGCACACGCATAACTCACCATAACCAGTTACTGATGACCAAATCTGGAAGAATTTTGGGGTTAACGAGGAAATGACGTCAAAAATGCAGCCCGCTACAGGTTAAGGCACCGTTACCGAGAAGACCTGGGGACGAGGTTGAGTTGCTTTGGTTGTGAAAAAAAATGGCGGACATTTCATTCGTTTCAAGATTAAGAACTACTGCTGGAACTAGGCGAAATAATAGCTAAAAACATGGCAAAAACAGCACGAAGACAACTTGCAGGGCGACATCTACTATTTGGAGAATATCTGCACAACTGCACAAACGTAAACGTACACTATCGAAGATGAACTTAACATCGTTGCGGGTAAGCATGTTTTTGCTATGGTTTTAAACTAGGAATTATTTTGAATGAATAATAAAGCAATTAATGTATTCCCTCCCAAGTTACTGAGATTACTTTGCAAAAGAAAAAATGGGTAACTGGTGCACCCTATACTACTTTTCTCATTGTTGCACTTGCTTCGTACTGTTCTCCTCAGCAAATCCATTAAAAATCTCTTCTCTTTGGCAGGACGAAAGAAATGAGATGATGAAACTAAGTATTTGGGTGAGACAGGTGAGCACTCAGCAACAGCTGTTGGATCTGCTTAACAGTTATGGCTTCTGTTTAACTAAAGCTTCTTTTACTGCGTTGCCGTTTTTGTTTTTACACTTTCATTTTCTATCCTATTTTAGCCTGGGAAAACAGCCGACATTTCGCGACGCTACCAACAGTTTCCGTGCGAAATGACGTCTGAGGAACGAGCGCAGAAATTCCATACTGATGACCTGTCACTACCCTGATCTGATTGGTTGAAAATTTGCTTCAACCAATCAGAAGCACTAACCTCATCAGGGTAGTGACAAGTCATCAGTATGGAATTTCTGCGCTCGTTCCTCAGACATTATTTTCAGTGGTAGCGTCGCCAAGTGCCGGCTGTTTTCTCAGGTTATCACTGCTTTAACCTGAGTTTAATGAAAAAGATGTAAACTTCTTCGCTCTAGATGGCCCCTGGCAATCCAAATAAACTGAATTTGCTGAAAAAGAAGCAGTTATGTACTAGCGAAAGGTTAAGTCCCAGTACCAAAAGGAGCCCTAGTTTAGAAGACAAAATTGTGAACGGTTCTTAAATTACAGAAAGAAATGAAAAGCGGAGATAACTGTGCACTACTACGTGCTGTCAAGAAGCAAAAATTCGTTTCGTTTCTTAATTCCTCCCTAATTACCGCGAAGACTTGGTTGAAATCAGTTAGTAAAATACAGTCAGTCGGTCTAATGCCTTAGCAGAATTAAACAACCTTATTTAAACTACCTTTACCGCTTTTTGCTCTACTTCAGAAATGGAAGAACCCGTTTCTTCGCTGGAATGCCACACATTATGGAGGGATATCAGAGATCAATGTTAACCCCGGAAATGTATGGAAACCAGATTTGGCTCTTTACAACAAGTAAGTTGACATTTTGGACAAACAAAAGTCCACCAGGGAAATAATACTGAATTGACGCTCTGTCGCTTTAAAATTTGGAGAACTATGGACTGAGAAGGTATCTGAGATGACCAATTTGAGCTAAAATCATTATGGAGCCGCTTTCGTAAATGGCCTAACAAAATTGCTTTTTTGCAATTGCATGAGTATTCCTTTTTCAAGAATTCACAGATGAATCTGTGCACCATGTCCTTGTCCGTAGGATGATTAATAACCTACCGAGGACAATTCTTTGAATTTCCAGTTTGCACAAAAATTTCAATTCCCATGGTATATTCCCTTGACGTTTCCGTTTGACTTGCTTTACAGTGCAGATGCTGGCTCCGATGGGTCCTTGGAGAGGTTCAATCAGCAGATAAAAGTTAATAGTGATGGTCAAAATCTATGGCTTGCTCCGATTATTCTTTTGAGCTCCTGCAAAATTCACGTCAAATATTTCCCCTTTGATGAGCAGCATTGTGAGCTGAAGTTTGGATCTTGGACATTCGACGGATTTCATTTGGATTTGTTAGCAGAGGCACCTAAGGCTGATATTGGGAAATTTGCACTAAATGGCGAATGGGAACTTATTGAAGTTCTCTGTAAAAGAAACGTTATAAAATACGTCTGTTGCGATGCACCATATCCTGACATAACTTACACAGTGAGGATCCGCAGAAGGACTCTTTTCTTTTTCTTTAACATGGTCATTCCATGTCTCGTCATTGTAGGTAAGATATACTCCAGAACGGGTGGCTTTAGGTGTGAGAAAAGTATGGAAAATTAAAAAATAAAATACTCAAAATTCAGTGTGAAAACTCATCGCAAAAGCTTGACAAAAGGCATATTTTGTAAAAGGTTTCAACCCAGGAGTCACTTTATAAGTAGTTTGAGCATAATCGTCCGGTTGAACGTAGTCCTGAATACTGACTGTTGTTGAGAGTGCCGACTCCCTTTTCGACAACCAGTGCCCAAGTCATCTTCGGAGTCATAGTGAGTTGATCGAAATACTGTTGATGTAAACTGTGTAAAGTTCCTCTTTCCACGTCTTTACTCAACTGTTATATCATTTATCTTTTAAGGTACAACTTCTGTGGTTTCTCCTCACATGTTATTAATTGCTCCTATTAACCTTCTTGTTCAATGCTCTGGGGATAAGACGCCTTCGTCCAAGCTTGAAACCGTAAGGTCGCGGGGGGGGGGCGGTGAGGAGGTAGTGGATGAAAAGAGACTTTTCATTTTATAATCACCACTTCCTCTCAGCCCCAGATTCCGATATGTACTCCTTTCTGAGCGCTTGCCTGTATATAAATTGTCTTTGCTTTTTAACAAAATAAGTTCTAGTAAAAGTAATTTTCTTCAAATTAATCAAATTAAATTAAACTGTTTTTGTTTTCAGGTCTTACTATCCTGTCATTCTACCTACCGCCAGACTCCGGTGAACGTCTGTCATTAGTTATTACCAATCTGCTCGCCATGACTGTCTTTATGCTTTTGGTAGCTGAAATCATTCCACCCACATCTGATGCAGTGTCAATCATATCTACCTTCTATTCCTGCTGTATATTTGAGGTGCGTTATCATCAGCAAGGACACTAGTGGGGTATATTGATGAAACAAGAAGATACCTTGTGCTTGTCCTTTACTGGAATATATATAAAAAATATTTTCATGAAAATGTTTTTGGCTGTATTAGAGTTTTAGTCACCCTGGCAGGGAGTGACCCACTTCGCGGCTCCAAAATCAGACTGACGCTCAATATGTAACATTGGACCTTTCACTTGTTTGGTTCAGACTCTCTCCTCATGTGATCAGCTAGGTTAAATCAATGTTGTTACTGGGTCGTTACTATCACCCGATGCTACAATATGCTTGTACTGTGCGCATGGAATCGAGAGTTTTGAAACATCGTTGTTACACGGTAGTTAGTATGCTAATGCTTCTTTACAAACCTTATTTTCACAGGTTGGATTAGCTCTTATAGGCACGTGTGTAGTTCTCAAGTACCATTTCAATAACCCTTCAATTCATAAGATGCCAGACTGGCTACGTTTTATCGTTCTCCAATGTTTGGGAAAGATCTTCCACAAGAAGCTTCGCAATGATGACAATCTGTTGGAAAACAAAAATCCTTTTGAAAAGAGAAGACGTTTGAGGAGTGAAAATGGATATTTCGAGTCCTTTATTCCCATGGAAAGGCAAAATCCTAAGTGGCCTCTTGAAAACAGATCTCGAGGTGCTTCAATGGATAAGGAGCACCTGGGGGCATTTAATGGTAATGAAACATCTCAGGAGTTTGATGATAAGTCGAGTCAAATAACAAAAGCAATTACCCACAAACAAGAAACCATCGCTAACGCCCTGGAAAAACTAGCGGAAGCAAAGGAAGCTGAAGATGAGGAAGGGAAACAAAGAGAAGAGTGGATGATGGCTGCATCTATTATGGACTCACTTTTCATGTGGATTTTTTTTCTCACCTTGGTTGGTTCTCTGGCTGCCCTGTTTTTTCAGCTTCCAAAGTACGATTAGCGTGCGCATTGATTAAGGAATATTGAGCTTAATTGAGTTCGGCTCTGCTAAGTAGGTACAAAATGGCTTCGGAACCTTAAAGCTCAAAAGTTGATTCAGTTTTAGTAGAATCAGACAACCTGAAGTGCTAGTGATTACCTGAAAAGGAAATAAAATAAGAAATCAGGGCAGTGTTAAGTTCAACGTTAATTTTCCAGCTGTAGTATTCTCAGGTTTTCTAGGATAAAGATGTGTCAAAGTTTCCAATATTACTGGGTTCCAAATACAACTTTTTCATACACTGTATCACCAAACTTTGGCATAAACTATGTTTAAACACAACATGTACAGTTAAAAATGTTGCGTTCACGCCAGTCGACTATCTCAGTTATTGGCGTTATTAGTTCTTCTAGAGAATCAACCTCATTCCCTGGATTCTCTCCTACCCGTCCTTACGTCGCTCCGTAGGCGGAGAATTGGCTCTTTGCATGACTGTGATCACGTGATCAACTTTCGGTAAACACTAAAACAGTTCACTTTTGAAAACTTTTGTTAGCATAACCTGAACGAGCATATTAAAATTATGTAACCTGAGATTTTTCAGCGATTGTAACGGCCGTTGAAAGTTAGGGCCTGTTTACATGGAGGAGGGGGACCCCCGGCCGTCGTAGGTGAGGTAACCCGCTTAGCTGGGGCAACCTGCATTTGCATATAATCTCTCATTTAATTTGGTCACGTTTACGTGATGGGTGGGATGACCCGCCACATACTACCTTACCTACCTAGGGTCCCCCACCTCCATGTAAACAGGTCCTCTAAGATTTTTAAACTGTCGTTAAATCTTTCCCTTCCGCGTTTAAGGGCTCAAATTTCATGTTATAAATTAAAAGGAGATGTGAGCCCTGTAATGCTTAAGGAAATATTTCATGACAGTTTTGAAAGTTTCGAAATTACAAGGATTTGTATGGAAAACCATGCAAGCGTGACTGGATGGCAAACACTTCCAGCTTTCGGCGGCCGTTGCAATCGCTACTTTTGAGATACACGACAGAAAATTCTCAGGTAACCTAATTTTAATACGCTCTTTCAGCTTGTACTAACAAAATTGAACTGTTTTCGTGTTTACCAAAAGTTGATCACGTGATCTGATCAAGTCATGCAAAAAGCCTATTGAATCTGTAAATAAAAGACGTCCCCACTCACTAGGGTTAATCAGGTTAGCTTTGTAGTCTATATTAACGTGTCCTTTTGTTCTATGAGGATAAGATTAAACAGAGACAGCTTTGTGATGTGTTGAATATGATGATTAGAAAAAAAACGTAATTCAGATGATTCTATCTTCTTCAATGGTCTTTTATAGATTAGTTTCAGGCAAGACGTAATGGTGCACATGATAAAAATTGAGATGTGAGCAACTTCTAACACCAAAAGGTCTTTGATTCAGACTTTGCAAGTAGAATCGATGAACTTAAGTTAAACATCTTTTTAAATTTTTGTGCTTTTTAAGACATAGTAAGCCTTCATTGACAACCCCATTTGCTCGGATTTTTGTCACTCCAAGAGGAATTTTCGTCACCACTTATTCACATCCGGGCATTCACAACGGTGATGTAAATGACAGGCAGAAGGTCACAGTTTTTTTTTATTTTAGAGGCTTACTATTCCAGTGATAAATGAAGGCCTTAATTAAAGCCTAGAAAAAATTGCATACGTTCCTTAAAGTTGTTTTTGTGCATGGTCGTGGAATACTTGAAACGACTCTTCGGTCGATACTGAATCACATCACGTTTCAAGTGATGTGACAAACTTGAAGACCGACGTCTCCCAGTCGGACTGACAGATATGGTTTCTGATCTTTCCGAGGTTTTTCAAAACAATAAAGGGTGGATTTTATATCTCACCAACAGCGGTGTTAAATAAGAGCGACTGAGTGTCGTCGGAGTGTCTCAAATTTTGCAAGTTGTTTTAGTAGTACAGTGATCTTTTCTTATTTTATGATTGAACTTCAAAACGGCTGAAACTAAACTGAGTTGTAAAAGGAAACGAAAACAAATAAAGATTAAACAAAATCTCGCTACGCTGTTTCTCATCGAGTCTTTCACTTAGCGTTTAGCCTTAAATAATAGACTCAGTCCCCCGCACTTTTTCCAGTTTTTTTTTTAAATTGGAAATTGTCCCGCTATCAAGAAGGTCTTTGAAATCTAATCGAATCCAATAATTGGATCATGAAGTAACTTAAACACCTGCTAATATATAGATTTAGCCAGGGCTAAAAGCGAAGCTCTCGTTAATGTATATAGTTTACTGAAACAAAATATAATATCGTGTAACGCTAACCAAGCTGGCGACCCACCTCGTCCCCAGGGCTTTTCCCTTAAACAATGGGTGGTGACGGCAACGAAAACAGCCAAAAAAAAAAAAAAAAAAAAAAAAAAAACAATAGGTTTAAGGAGCAAAAAAAAAACAACAACAACAACAACTTTGCATGTGTAGCACACTTTTTTTGTGTATTTCTTTGCCGTTGTTTTGTACGACGACAACGTGAAACTTCCAGAAACTTCCTAGTTACACTTTCTCTGTTATCCACGCCAATGTAGACTTTAAAATTAAGTCGAAAGAAAGAATCGGCTTCGTTGTTGTTGTTTTTTATCTCTAAAAGTCCAGGTGACTATGCTATTTACTGTCGAAACGCGAGGGTACTTGAAATGCAAAATTTCACCCCGGCTTACATGAAGGGGTGGACGTACGTACGGACGATTTTCTCAGAACCAAAATTTCTTGGATGCATAGATTACCAAATTTTCTTACCCATGTGGTACTCCGCTGCGAGCGCTTCGGGCGCGAGAGCTCCGCTATAAAAAACGATTTTCTCTTCTACCGGTATGGGCGGTTACTAAACATTAATCGAACATTACCATATGGTTCGCTTATTTTGTTTAACTGTTTTTTAAAAAAATTATTTTCGTTTATAAATGAAATTAGGCTGTTTAGAATTACGTTTTTAGTATTATTAAAGAAGTTTTGTTTTGAATGTTCTCGGATGGCTACCAGGCTCCTGCACCACATGCAGCTTTTCTATGCATGGCGGCAAGGTTAAAGGTTTATTACGAACAAGATTCATTGCAGATTACGAACAGAAGAAAATATCTTGACACAAACCCAATACAGTAAATTCTAATAAATATTAAACGCTCAAATTGAAAACGTTGCAGCCAAGAAGATTTTGCAGGGACTGATCAAACAACGTGAAATAGAGTTAAGTTGCGATATTTCGCCTGGCCAAAACCAGTCTTCATCAGGTTTATTTAGATATCACGAATTTACCGAAATATATATGAAGTAAAATAATGACCGTGGTATGGTGTGGCTACTTAAAAAGACAAGATAACAAAAAAATAAAAGATATACTATATATAGTTACAGTTCATCACGTTTATTGATGCCCAGAGGTTCAGTTGTCTTAGCTTTATGGATAAGGTGGGCTTCACGTGCTTTCCTGAAAGAATCACGCCCATTAAGTTTTTCAATACGAATCAAAAACGTATGATTGTCGGAATGATTAACCTATGGCGTAACGGTTCTAATTCGAAGCGTATATGGTTGCGAGTCTTGCGAAGGAAGAGTTATGTCAAGCAGGAGAAGGGCTATTTAATCCTATATCCAGGCATAGACAAGTTTAGATTGACTTCCAGGTATTCAAATATTGCATTTGCGCTCCATATCGATTCTTTGGCAGTTTCATTGGAGAGTTGAAGTACGGCAAAAGGCAAGCGAGATTAGCGACCCGTTCGACTGAAGAGCCCAGATGGCCCCAGGTCATATCTCAGATGGAGGCTACTTTTCATGCGATTATTAGAAGATTTTCAGATTTAATATCGTGGTTCTATTTTTTTTTAAGTTTGGACTCAGTTCTAGTGTGTTTTTGAAGCGTTTTTCTCCCAGATTGGTATGGTTTAGTATCCCGATCAACATTTGTTGCAAGATAAGCCTTGTACAGCTTTATGTCCTAGCTCTGGGAATAGCTAAAGATTGATCGCTAAACTGATTAGTTTAATTAGAACGCATGAATGGTTATCAATTACTGCCACTCACAGAATTTTCATCCAGCTTTGACTGCGTGCCACGTTGAACTAATTTTGCAATCAATCAGTTATTAATTTTTTATCATTTCGCCCACGTCGTGGGCATACTTTGCGCACGCAATTAAAAGTACAGCTCCAGAAAACAAAAAAAGTTAACAACAAAATCATGTGAATTCTGACCAGAATTTACATCTAGTCATCATCACTACTTTTTTACTGCAAATTACACATCACGAAAACAAATGAACCAACTCAGATAAGCTTGAAAATCTAATAAAGATCACTTACAAGCTTCAGGAATTAAGTATAAGCCCCTTAAATACTCGCGGAAAAAGCAAAACCATTAACATCTTTTTAGCTTTCAAAAAGAATGATCAAAACACGGAAGTTTCGAGAAGTAGCTTTTCGTTTGTCAAAATCCAGACAAAACATCAACACAATTTAGTTAAACCACTTCTTGATACTAGGGCTTCCACTAGGAGCAAGGGTAGTGCGCGGCCTTTGGTGCGCGAGGTTCCTAGTTCGATGTTCGGTGACACGATATCCTTTTTGGAACTTCTCTCCTTTCTGTGTAGCTTTGACGAGCTTTAAATACCCTTAAATGGAGCATTGATGGAGAAAGAGAGAGAGCGAGGAGTGAGAGGTGGGGGGGCTGAGGAGGGTGGTTAAAATGAGCGCACCGTCGACCTCAAGGTTATCTGCTATTACTGTCACGAGTTATCGAGGTGAAATATGGTTGCTTTACCGTCTAGTTTACCTTTTACTTGTCTTCTGGCATCAAAAAATAAACAACTGTTCATCTTAATACAAGCACAGACACATAATTCCACCCCAGAGCACGATTTCTCACGCTTCGTCTTTTCATTCTATATTAGAAATTTTTAAAAAATCCAGAAGAAGGAACATATATTTTTCATTTAAGTCTCGCGTATCTGTTTGCTTTCGAAATGACCTCACTTAATGCTTCGTTAACGGAATTTAGAGTAAATCCACCACCTTTAACCTCCACGCTTGAGAATCATCATCAAAACGTCTTGAATTTGGTTCAATTTCAAGTTATGATGAAATGCTGTAAGCTTAAGTAAACGTCAATAGTTAGAACGTGATTTGATAGGATTACAGTCAGTGAACAACGCTATAAGCGCTTTTGGGCACAAAGGGCCAACGTAAAAGACGAAGACAACCAACCAGCGTGACCTTAAAATTGTGTTGATAAGGTACGTCCTCTTTTCCTTTGCTATGACAACACCACTTGCCACGATTTGTATTTCACGGAGTTTATTTTGAATTTCTAAAAGCCTGATCGTAGGTTGTCGTTATACTAGCTTTTTTTGTGCTCATGTTCAATAAGTCGTAGCGTTTCAAAGATAAAACAGAAAGATTTCTGTTTCCTTATGACTAAAATGCATCGCACCTCATTGCTAACTTTGTCACTGACTGAGCACAGTTAACTGAGCTGGGAGGTTCTCCTTCATTTCAAAACAGCTCCCTAGGTATCTATCAGACGAAACTGAGCTGCTAATTCTTGTTGCCGAACGTCGGATACCTGTAATCGAAATTTCGTGAATATTCGAGTCATATCTGGGTCTTGGCCAAAAAACTTGCAGTGGAACGTTTACGGCAGAACTTAGATCAACGCTTGCGAGATCATCGTGTTTTACGGGAAGAAACCGGAATAATTTCGCCTAGTATTATTTACAAGTTCATAATAGGCGCTTGCTGTGGAGTACAAATTTACTCTTGATTTTTGTACGAGGAAAGAAAAATAAAGGAAATGCTAGAAATATTTCAGGAATCCCTGAGGAATCTTTTGTGAAAAAGTCACTGCGTATTCAGAGAAAAATGTCTGTATCTTGAGAAGCTAAGTTTTCAGCTGAAGACTCGTATACTTATCTCAGTAAATATATTTCACAAGTATCAAAGACGCTTAACAGCTTAAACTAGTCAGTCTTCGCGGTTCTTAAGGAATTAATTCCTCGTGGCATATCGGAAATAACATCTAAGTCAGTGTGATAAACACGAGATCAGGAATGAAGTTCCTTTTAAAACGAAAACGTAACAAAATTAGGCACATGTGGCATGCAATTCATTGCCGGGTAAAGTGCTACTTTTCTTTACGAAATAACGCCGATGCTAACCTTGCAATTCATTCCAGCCGCGCTCAGCAACCTCAATACTATACCCCAAAAGCTTAATTACTAATCATTCCTAGCTTTTTTGTTAAATGTATATTAGTTTTATCTTTTTTGATCTCTAATATTAAGCCGTGCTTTAACAGACGCCATGCGTAAGTGGAATATAAAGAAGAAGGATAAAATATCTTCAGTTAAAAGACCTTTGTTAATGATTGATAATCTTATGCTTATTTTTTCTCTCTTTATTCATTGCCAGTTGGGGTTTTTCATTCAGTCATGAGCCTCTGCATGTGTATTTCCGATGACATCGAAGTCGCGGCTATCGCTATTGATGCAGCGACGATCTTAGAGATTAAAGGAAAGCGATGATCGCATTGCCATTCCAATCAAGTTTACAATGTTAAGCCTGGTTCGGCATATGCCGCCGATGTATCTGCAACGTAGCCGTCGGTACCGTCTGGCCTACTGTTCCCGGACGAATGAGAACACGCGCCGCCGGCAACTAGAGCCATCGCAGAGCTCTACGGCCGGCATCCCTGCGACAACTTCGCAGGCATGCCAACGATAAAGACTGGGATGACCAACGTTGCCGGCCACTTATGTTCTTATTTCGGAACAGTATCCCAGGCATTACCGGCGGCTATGTCGCAGGTGCATCGGCGGCATAGGAGAACCAGGCTTTAGTCGAGTAATGAAAGCAAAGAAATCTGCCCAAAAAAGGGCGCAAAAACACAGGGGAAGCCGGATAGGGGCCTGATTCGGGCGCGTGAGCTCTTGCGTGCAATTCACCATTTTTACATAGACCATAATGCACCTCGTTTATTCCCCAAAATTTCGCATAACCATTGTAATGGATTTTTTGGGGACGACTGTAATAATACCTTAGAGAAATAGGAAACAATGGTTACGCAAAATTCTAGGGGTAAACAAGGTGCATTATGGTCTATGTGAAAGTAGTGAATGGAGGTAAAGCATGGAAGCAATAAGTAAACAGTAAGCCCGGGAAAAATACAACACTCGATGTTTTCCTTTTGCAATTTAAAACTTCCTGTGTGTGTTACAGTCAGCAAAGCTTTTTTTTCTCGCAGAAACCCGCTGTAAGCAACTTCAAGTGTGACATCAAACTTTGATATATGTGGCTCCTTTTGTTATTCCTGGCAGTCGGTTGCTATGCGACGCCAGATATCGGGGAAAACGTTAAAGGTGAGCTATTGAAACTTTCACCTTGTTAACCTTTTGGTATGATTTGTTGTGGCAACTTTTTCAGTAAATTATATTGTAAAGATAGCATGCAGTTAACAGTTAATGACCAAAATCAAAAAACTGTAAGTCCCCAAGGTTTTTCCCGTCACCAATATCATTTAAGACGGGAAAATAAATGCTAACTTCACGAAAGGGGGCTTCCTGGCGGTGATACAACTCAGTAACCAACCGAATGAAACTCAGCAAAGGTCTTATATTTTTATATATTTTAATCTTTGAGCGTTTGTATCCAGTTTCAACTTGACGTTTGGACTTCCACTGGACGTTTTCACCTACTTAATCCAACGCATTACATCTCACGAGTGTTCTTCAGGAAAGTACTATGAATAATTATGATCTCTTGATAAAATTAATTCATGAACCTTTATGCTAGACAATGATGGCGTTTACGAAAAAATGCTAACAAGCTTCCTATCAAGACACAGTAAATATCACCGGCCTGTACTAAGGATTACAGACAATGTTACAGTCACCTTCGGAGTAACATTAAATCAAATAGTAGATGTGGTATGTACAGATAGTCCTTTTTACATAATTTTGTTAAGTTATCAGCCGTAGCATGTTAAAAAATTAGTTGGCCTGTCTTCATAACTAAGGATGTTTGATGGATTTTCTGTGCATGATCTCCGAAAGAGTTTACCTTTTCGTTGGCTTGCGAAAGGCAGGACAGGATGGATAGTTTCTGTTGACTCAAAGAGACCAAGGGTCATCATCTTATTCTTGCTTATTTGTCTAAAACCGTTTATCAACAACTAGAATATACCTATATCTCTAATATGTACCCCTATAAAGGACGACCAGAAAAAAAAATCAGCCCATATAAAAGAATTATCAAAATTGCTATAGATGTTATGTAAGGTTCCCTTTACGCTTCAGGTCGAGAGAGAACAGATATTAAAACTGAGTCTTTGGATTAGACAGGTTAGTTTAAGTTTGTTTTATATCGTGACTACAACTGTAGTGACTGCCGCGGCGTTCATTGGTAGTTTTGTTTCAATCTGCGGCATTTAATCGCGTAAATGGCGCATTCCAGCTTAGGGGCCGGAAGTTTGTAGGTAAATTTAATTAATCATGCACCACGACTTGAGAAAGAGCAGAAATTATAAGGGCTTCGGGGTAACTCCAGTCGGAATTAAAAACTCTCTCAGATATAAAACATTGCCCAAGGCTTTTCAGCATCTTCTTAGTTTGCCCTTGTACATGTACGAGGTATTTTCCATCCGTAATTACCGCATTATGGACTTGTCTTATCACAGACATTATCATTATTTTGGTTAATAATGCTGTATTTTTCATTATCTCTAGAAATGGGTCAATTCGTTATTACGCTGGAACGTGAGTGATTTTGGCGGGATTACAGAAATAAACATTGATCCAGGAAAACTTTGGTTACCTGATATCTACCTCTATAACAAGTAAGCCCACGGTATTATTGTTTTTTTTTTTGGCATTGTACAAGTTTACAAGTTTTACGGAAGAATGTTATTAACAACATATATACCTATGCCTTGACTAACAAAAATCTTCCACCCAATCAAGCATTTTTCTCGCCGTGTTGATTATTTTAATAGCTAACTTTATGGCTTGCCAGCCTATCAACAACAACACCAAATGCTTTATTTGCATGACCATAAAATTACAGTACTGCAAAAGCTATTAGTCTAAATTTAAGTACTAATTCAACTAATTAGTACGTGCAAAACATTACAAAACGTTACAGTTCTCATTCATTCATTCATTCATTCATTGATATTTAATAATTTGGTTCTTAATTCAAAGCATTGTGAGATAAATGAAACTAATTGACAGTTCACTAAATAATCAGAAGAATTCATAAGAAGAGATATTTAAGTATCGTGTGTAAGTGATTTTAAGTCAGGTATTTCAGTTTCTAGTTTGGAGAAAAATATGTCTCTGATCTGAGAATAAGCCTTACAGTCTAGTAAGAAATGATTTTCATCTTCAATTTTGTTACTGCCGAAAAAAGGAACATACCCTTTCATTACGAGGGATTTTTTCGTATCTAGCTGTTTCAATTCTAAGTTGATGACTACTTATTCTAAATTTAACTAATGCTTTTCTCGAAGGGGTTTTTCTTGTTAAAACCTAGGTACTGCATAGTCATCTTTGATTGTACAATAAAAACTGATGCAATATTCTGGAGCTAGATTAATTTTATGGAAAGCTAAGCGTGTCATATAACTCCTTTGTTGTACAGCCTTCACTTCACCGTAATCACGATGATGCATGTTCATCATTTCAGTAATTATTATAAAATCACGTAGAACCACAAGGAACCCAGAAAAAAATTCTGAGTTTCAGGTGAAATTCGAGCCCACGGTCTGCCACATCCTGCACCTAAAGCACACTCGGGCTCGAAAATCTGCTGCGTCTGTCGTTAGAAGAAAGAAGAAGTCATTCATAATGAAAAACTCATTAATAATGCATAAAGAAAAAAAAACAAAAGAAATTAATGTCTATTGAGTGTCGTTACATCTGATAAAGACACAGCTAAACTTAACGTCCATTTTTTAGACTAAAATACGTAACCCCAAATCTAAATCTACCAGGATTTTTTAAAACCGGGTTAACAAACATTTTGTAATTTCTCTCAAATTCCCCTGCCTTAGCTTGTTTACTGCGTTGTTTGCTTATGTCTCATATTTGTCTTGGTTATTTCGTGGTGAGGCATTTGTGTAGAAGTGGCTGTAGACAGAATTTCGCGACTCCTCCCCCCCCCCTGTCTTTGGTCTTTTTCACGGTCCCTACTCACAATTCCCTCAGTCTGTAACACAGGTGACAGTTATTTGAAATCAGGGCGCACCTAAAGCTAGTTTCGGAGCCGTTGATATTTCGTTATATTTCTTTCAGTGCCGATGAAGACCACGATGGTTCCTTGGATAAAATGAAAACAAAAGTCAAAGTAGATCATAATGGAACCAATCAATGGCTGGCGCCATTGATGCTTAAAAGTTCCTGTAAGATTAATGTTCGCTACTTCCCGTTTGACGAGCAGGTAAGCTTACAACTGTCAAAGGTGTCAATTTGGCCCATCGACATAAAGAACACAGTAGAAGTAGTAGTACTATTTAATCTTTCCACCTCTTGAAAAGGATTGTTTTCAGTTTCATATTTTTAACCCCAAAAAATATTTCTAACTGTACCAACAACACAGTTCTAATTTGTGTTGACTCAAATATCATGTTCGTTTCAGGATAATAGTTTGTTCTTTGGCAGGCCTGTAATCTGAAGTTCGGATCGTGGACGTACGACGCATGGCGCGTAGATATCAAAGCTGAGAGTTCAAGTGCAGATCTTAAGACAACACAAGTGAACGGCGAGTGGGAATTACTTGGATTTCCCTGTAAACGCAATACAAAGGTTTATGAGTGCTGTCCACAGCCTTACTCTGATGTTACTTGTACCCTGAAAATACGACGAAGGACAACATACTTTTTCGTCAACTTGATTGTTCCTTGTTTTCTCATAACGCGTAAGTACGAGGAGCACTTTTTAAAAAACTGGAACGCTCTAAATAACTTGCGCGTTAGACACCCCTGAAGGTGTCCGGTAACCTTAACTAACGCTTTCCCCATATTTACTTACATCTTAAAAATTTCGGTTCACCTTGCAAGACAAGCAAAAGCTAAAAGTTGATTTTGTTCAATATTTTACACTTGGGAATCCAAAATAGAGTGAGAAGTTGATATCATATTTTCATTTATTCTCTAGTCTTGTCTCTACTTTCGTTTTTCCTTCCATCTGAAGCTGGAGAGAGAATCACCTTGGTGATAACTAACATGTTGGCCCTTACAGTGTTCATGCTGATTGTAGCAGACATTTTACCCGCGACATCAGAAGTAGTACCACTTATCAGTGTATATTTCACCAGTATATTGACAGAGGTAGGTATTGCTAACTGTCCAGCAACTTTTTTTCTTTTAACAAATTTTTTAGAAAGCAAAGCGCAAAGTTAGAGGTACATCTCACTTTTTAAGTTGAGAAAAAGTCTTTTAAGAGTGTTTGCCTCATAAGTTTGATCATGGAAAATTGTAAGCTTCGGGAGTTTGGGGTTTTGCAGATTTAAGGGTCTTTGGCCGCTCGTCTCTTCTAGCTGGAGCCTTCTTACGTTCTCTTTAAGACTTGTAATACGGAGTCTCCGAGTTCATGTCCTACCCTGACCGATAGCTAGATTTGTTTCTCGGTTTTTCTGAGTTGAAATCCATGGCCTCGATTGTAAAAGAGTAAGCTGTTTCGCCTCCTGCCAGTTGGGATTCTTAACCATGTCATGTTATTTGTTTCATTATCCCTGAAAAGCCCCATAAGGGAAGAGGATATGTATTAAATTTAAATTCCAACTAAGGCTACCGTAAGTATCTCGCGATACCGGGACGTTCTAAAACTTGTAGAATTAGTTTAGATTCTTATTAAGAAAGGAAAGTAGTCTTTATTTTCTTCTGAACCACCTGCCTTGTAGCCTCCACCACGAGGAGTAGCTTAGAGCATGAAAATGCTCACAACCTCAGTACTGGTTTTGGCAGTCGCTTGAGCGACTGAGGGATATCCAAATTACGACCTTATCCGCTGGATTAATTTCACTAACTTTTTATATATATTCGTTCTATTCTTTGGCTAGCATAACCGGTTTGAAACGATTTTAGTTATTTTGGGCCATGATCATGTCTTTGAAAATATTTTTACCACTTAAACGTCTATTTCTCTCAATAGGTTGGCTTGTCATTAATAGCTACTTGTATCGTACTTAAGTGTTACTTCACAAACCCAGCCTTCTCAGAAGTTCCTTTCTGGATCCGCCAGTTAGTTATTCAAGGACTAGGTCAGCTGTTAAAGATTGAAGCAAAGAGAGAACGCAAAAAATCACAGAAAAAAGGAAAACCTGTTGAGGAAGGTAGAAGGTCCAGACGCAAGTCCATGGCAGACGCGTTGGATCCAAATTTCGACAATTATAGTCAAATCTTGTCAGGCCAAAGAAATAGCCTGCCAAACGCTAAACCAAAACGCCCTGTTTCGTTGGCGGAGCAGACGGGTCCAAATTTCAGCTCTCAGAATCAAAACTATCTGGGCCAAAAAAAAGGCGAGTCAAACAACAAACCTAAGCGACCCGTTTCCATGGCTGAGTCGCTGGATCCGAATCTTAACTTGTACCATCACAGTCATTCAAGGCGCAGAAACACGGCAGGGAACATTAACTTGCTTGAGCCCAACGTACCTCCGTGCGGGGCGTGTCATGAACTGACTGTGGATATGCTTCACTTGGGACCTGGGCTGCCTGTCAAGAATCTATGCCGCTTCCCATCTCGTCAGTCGCTAAGGAGAGAGTCCTGGTGCGAGAATCCTTTAAGTGAAAAGGCCGAAGTGAACACCAACGTTCAGTCCCAAACCTCCTTGATAGGCGCGCTTCTGCATCGGCAGGATCATCTGGTGGACTATGTTAAGACATTGGTCGAAGCTGTTGAAGAACAGGACGAGCATGATTCAAAACGGGAGGAATGGGTCCTGGTGGCGGAAATATTGGACACTTTTTTTCTGTATGTGTTCGTAGTTGTAATGATTGGTTCAACTCTTCTGATATTTACTGCAGGAACGTCATGGTGAGAGATACAAAACTTTTCCGTTTAATTTAAAGAATTTGAAGAGTTATAGATGACAGTAGTGACAGCAGTAAGGCTGTCCTTTTTGCAATAACGTTGTCTTATGAATTTAAACTGAAAAACAAATAAGAGAAAAATCAATAGGGGTTGGTTGACTTGTAATTCATAGCTTCAGCAGTACGTCGGATACAACACAAGCGTGTTTGGCCTTTGGCCTTTTTCACATTCGTTTCTAGGGCAATGTTATCGTATAGAGATTTATAAAAGATATGAAAGTTTAAATTATTGTGTAAGGAATGTAAGAAGTTTGGCGAATATGCCTTTTACTAATGTCATCATGTCGTTTCTCTAAGAGAATCATTTAAGTGGAATTGATCCCTTCTTGTTGAAAGAAAAAAAGGATATATCAAATCATTTTTGTAAGATACAAGCTTCTTTGCACGCTTTATAAGAGTTAGGTCTCATGCTGGACTAAATGATAGTAATTTAAGTTTCTTCTCATGTAGAAAATACAGTAAATAAAAACATATCCCGCGTTGAAGTAAGGTACATTGTGATAAACAATACTGTTGAATGTTAGATCATGTTCATAAAGGCAATTTATCACGTAGATCGTGTAGGCGCCACAACTCATATATCATCATTAATATATAGATTTAGCTAGGGCTAAAAGCGAAGCTCTCGATAATATATATAGTTTGTTCAATCAAAATATAAAATCATGTAATGCTAAGCGGCGAAGGCAACGCAGGAGAATGGTGAAAAACAACAATAGGTCTAATTAGCAAAAAACCAACTTTGCACGTGCAGCACACATTTTTTGTACATTTCTTTGCCGTTGTTTTGCACGACTACAACGTAAAACTTCCAGAAACTTCTTAGTTTACGTTTTTTTCGATCACTTTTTTTTCACTGCCGCTCATTTTCACCTTGCATTGGTGGCCGCTGGCATTTCTCATTTTGTCACCGCCGTTACAAAATTTTCATGTTGTCAGTTCCAACAAAAAAATGTCTGCTTTGTTTTTTATCTCTCGCTCTAAATCTCTGTCGCCCTTTTTCTCGTTGAGCTTCGCTGGCCTGCCGCCTACTTTAGGCTTTTTCTCTGTGTTTCTCTTGCTCTATATTCCAAATTTGTGGACATGACAATTAATCTAAGCTTAATACTTTAGAAAACACGGATACAGAGACAATTTCCGCTTTCCATATTCCTCTTTATTGACTCTTTAGTTGTTTCTGCTTTAATTACAAGACGCGGGTGGCTATGCGATTTCCCGTCAAAATAACCTCAAGTTGCATTTGGGTTGCCATACCTGTTGTTGATTGAGTCATTGTGGTAATAATGCCTGCGGTCAGTTACTTTCGTTAAATTTCTATTATGAGCATATTGTGTAATTTTGACTGAAAAAGTGGCTTGATTAATGTTGTTGTGAGAATACAAGGTTTTCTTTGGGCTATTATTCTAACAAATTTAATTACTAAGTGAGATGAGGAGAGTCAAACTTCCTTTTTGTTCTGAATCGCCCCGTGTAAGGGAATCCAGATTCCCAGAATCCGGGAAATTTTTGCTTGTGAAATCCAGAATCCTAGGCTTTGGAATCCGGAATACAGCTCAAAGAATTAGGAATCCAATTAACGATTGGAATCCAGAATCCACTTTCTATTGTTAAAGGCTGGAATTCAGTAACTGGTATCCGGTATCCGCGGCGAGGAATCCAGAATCCAAGACTGTCTTGGATTCCTTTACATGGGATCTGAAAATACTGCGGTGGCAGAAGAGGGTAAAACTGAATGCAAGGCTAGCAATAAGTCAGACCTTTACCGTATTGCCAGCCTTGCCTTTAGTTTTGTTTTAATTCCCACTTCAAGTGACGTCTGGCTCTAGCATCTCTACATTAGAGATCTGACAAGAAAGAACCAGTTGATATAATTTACGCGTTGAGCGGACCTCTGCATTCGAGGGTTTTTGGGAGAGAGTACCTAACTACCCTAATGGCCCACCTGTTAAGCACATGACTTCGACTTCATTATTCGGATACAGATCATTTAATAACTTGGAGCCTGTAGAAAAATGACAAGAGTAGAAATAAGAAGAGCTCCCATAAACAGCCAGAAGAAACAGGCATCGACAATGGAGGCGACGATTTTCCATTCCTCTCTCTTAATGTCATTCTTTTCTTTTTTTCTCGTAACATTCACGAGCCTGCGTACATTATTTAATAGTATGTCTTGTTTGAGCAGTGCCTCTTTCGTGATGACCTCCATTGAATGAGCAGCATTACTGGGTGCAGACAACGCCGGTGCCCATGAATTTGTTTCTTCTTCATCAATGGATTGCAAGCTGCTCTCAAACTTGTGAAATAGCTTAGGAAGTCCAGTTGTCGACAAGGCCTCCCTTTCAAAACCAGATTCTCTCGGCTCTGACGATACCGTCCTCGAGCGACTTCTGACACAATATGGTGAACTTGTGGTGCAAGGCTTTGATTGGAAGTCTCCAGGGGAACTGAAACACCTTTGACGCGTAATGGGCTGGGAAATGATTGAGTTTCGTCTCTCGAAGTCAATTTCCTCTCGTACTTCTTCTTGTTCTTGAACGTGTTTTTCCATGGCGTTTATGAGTCCTGCTGGAACTTTGACGCGAACAATTTTTGCAAGCCAATTTAAGACGATAACTCTTATCCATTTGGGCATTTCTGTGACAGCAGGGTTATTGTAGTAGCATTTCAACACCATGCATGTTGCAATCAAGGAAAGAGCGACCTATAATAGATTATTTTATTAAAAAGAAGATAAACATGTGATGCCTCATTCCACACTTGTATTCATCATAAGATATATTAGAGAAGTGAAATGAATTGCAGTCGCACTAGGTCAAGCGTACCCCTATAGATTCAATTAATGAATCGATTATTTGAAAAATGAGTCCGTTAGTCGTTACCGCAAGCAGAATCAAATTCAAATTTGCGTTCCTACATGAGTAATGAGCGGTGAATTTTGTACGATAAAAAACATTTGAAGAAGACATTTTCATCAAATTCAAGACAACTGAGCAGGTAGAAGTTTTATCGCTGTCTCGCGCGTGAATTCAATGCTCATTCAGCGCATGTAGAATGCAGAGATAAATCGGAAATCTACAATTACCCAAAAGATTTAACTTTGGAATATTAAATTCATTCATGGAATATTATAGCGCTAGTGGAAGGAATGAGTAAAGAATGAGCGAGTGAGTGGATGAATGATCGAATGAATGAATAAAGGAATGAACGAACGAGCGAACGAATGAATGAATGAAGATAAGGGAAGAGCTGCTGAGAGGTTTGGTTCAGTGTTACATGCCCCTGGTACTCCTCCCATCAGTTGAGTTTGATGTAGCCAGAGCCTGGTAACACGTTTTTCAGTGAGGTTACATGACGGCGACGAGGTTATGTTATTGGCTCGTATCTAAGTTACCTCGAACATGATTCCAGTGTAGTAAATGCTAATCAGTGGGACGACCTCCGAAGTGGCAGGCATGATTTCGGCCACTATCAGCATGAACACAGTCATAGCCAACAAATTGGTTATCACCAGTGTAATGCGTTCACCAGAATCAGGAGGGAGAAAGAACGACAACAGAGTCAGGGCTAAAATAAGAAAAAAAGGGAGAGAGGTAAATATCAAATGATCCATAACAAAAAATAAAAACGTATCTGTACAGAAAATCTGTAGTGAGACGCTCGCTATAACGTGAGATATAAGACGGCGGAGCTGTCATTTTGTCATGGACAGCATGCTGTAATTACAATGGCCTCTTATCGCGTGGTTACATAGTAATTGAGGCTGCAGTTGAAGCCCGAAGCCTTTTAAAGATTTGTTCAGAGACTGCATTTTTTGTTTGGTTTTTTTTGTTTTATTTCGAAATAAGTCTTTTTTTGTTAGACAGATGAATATATTTAACCTTATTCTTTGCATTAATGATCTAGTAATCAAATTTCACTGTGAACGATCGTTTCTTTTGTAAAACCCGAATGAATGCGTAACTTTTTATAGGAAAAACATTTTGTCATCAAGTATTTCAATAAAACCTCCAAATTTAACCTTCTTACCACTCACACGTTGTTGGCGCATGAAAACATCAATATACTGCCACTTACACGTTTTTAGCGCGTAAAAATATCAGTGCATCACCTCTCACACGTTATCCGCGCATAGAGCCAACAATCCACTAACATTCAATATAAGTGCGTAAAAACATTAATGTACTAAAACTTACACGTGATTAGCGCACATGGAATTATCAAGTTCATGAAGTAATACATTGTGCGCCTCCTTATTTGGACTGTGTACGTCACATCCGGGTAAGGTTCAGGACAACAGACGTAAATAAACTCATTTCTTTGTACTTTCATTGTTATCAGATCCCACTCGCCATTGCTGATAAACTTTTTAATGTCACCTTCGTCATTCTCCATTTGTACATCAACTCTGTAACCATCATATGTCCAAGAGCCAAACTTCATGGAGCACAACTAAATTAGATTTTAAATGAATTTATTACTGCTTTAAGTGGGAGCTTAAATAGATCAAACACATCTTCCCGATTTTAAGTCTTCTTTATGACCCTTCAAACGCATCTTCCCGATATTTAGTCTTCTTTATAACCCTTCATACTGCACCAAGATTGGGGGAAGAGAGTGTTGTATGAATCATTGGCTAGGCGTGTACCCCCGGGGCCCTCCACCCTTCTGAAGTAAACACCATATCCCAACGAACAGCCATTAACCAGAAATTATAATCTATATATATTCAATAAATACAAATAACAAATGAATTCATTGACTCTCCACGGAGAAGTTTTCAGAATCACTTTACAGCGTATTTACAAGTATCAAAATTACAATAAGATTTTAAAAAATGTTATTAAACATGAGATAATAAAAGTATCTGGCTAAAATAGAATCAAAGTTATGTAGGATTTATCAACCCTGACAAGACACTTTTCCTACAAGAAATGTTTTAGCGAAGATTTAAACTGAGAAAGGAAAATCGAAGGCGAGATGCGAATGTTGGTAGACAACGAGTTCCGAAAGGTGGTAGAGCTATACATAAAGAATTCTGAGCAAGGGCAGTACGGCAGTTAGGAACTTAGAGCTTAGGTATATGTCTGTTGTGAGTGTCAGATAATACAATTTGCCGTCCAATTTATTTACCCTGCGCCAGACTAATTATAAACTGTTTGGAATCGAGCTAACCCTGGCACATACTCATATAGGTTATATCCTCCCACCTACTGGTAGCTATGCTCACCTGTTCATCAAAGGGGAAAAAGTTGACATTAATCTTGCATGAGAAAGTGAGGAGTACTGGTCCGAGCCACATGTTCCTTCCATTTGAACTGAGAACAATCTTGGTTTTAAATCTGTCCAGCGCACCATCATTCTGAGCGTCAGCACTATCAACCAACAAGGCAGGCAATTATTCACTTCAAATCCTGCAGAGTACCTGACGTGTAAATGAACAAATGAATGCGGCCGGCGTCTACAAAATAGTGACTTACTTGTTGTACAGATAAATATCAGGTATCCACGCACTTTTAGCGTCGATGTTGATTTGTTTTATGCCTGCGTATTCTGACTCGTTCCAGGTTAAAAACGGATCGAACCAAATCTAGAAACACAAGTAAGGCAATATTTTAAAAAATACTCATGGTAAAGTCATTTTCTCGCTTTCATTTTCATTGTCACTTTAAAATAAACATGGCATCGGGAAAAGATTCTGAATCCCAGGAGTTTTTAATCCTGTACAAGCAAACACTAAACGAGAGAGATATCTTTTCTGCAATACAATGGTTCCAAGAAAAAGAAAGAACGTTTGAATACCTGACGAACCCAGAGACTGACTGTTATAAACTGGTTCTTCTCGTTCTGAAAATCATTTAACAGATTAGAATTACTGACATTCTGGTCAATTTAGTTATAAAAGAACCTGTGCGTAATGTTAGAGAATCAGATCCTGCCATATCTGATCATTGTGCTGTACACAGTGAAACTTTGTGTTTGATTAAACCGAGCTTTGAGAGAAGGACAATTACATACCGAAAACTGCGCTCGCTGGATAGTGGCCTCTTTATTCAGGATATCATGAATTCGACGCTGACGAATCATAATTTTACAGATGTGTCAGTACTTACTGACTGTTACACTAACACAGTGCGGTCACTACTTGACAAGTATGCTCCGGCTAAGTCACGTATCGTAACTATTAGACCTGCTACACCTTGGTACTCGGATCACATCAGACTTAAAAAAACCTAAAAGAAAGAAACTGGAACGCAAATGGCACTGAAACAGCGCTTAGGCGAATACACAATGACATTCTACGTGCCATTGACGACGGAGAGTGTGTTATATTGGTGTTACTAGACCTCTCAGCGGCGTTCGACACGGTAGACCATCACATTCTCATTACTGGGCTAAAACATCGTTTCGGAATAACTGGGAAAGCCTTAGGTTGGATACAACCTTATTTATCCGGGAGGACCCAGTTCGTGAAGATCGGGACTGAGCGCTCATCAAACCGGAATCTCCTTTGTGGTGTTCCCCAGGGCTCAGTGCTGGGTCCCATCCTGTATTCCATGTACACCTAGCCTCTCACAGACATCATGAGTAAACACAACATGAACCATCATTTTTATGCTGATGATAACCAAATTTATTTGTCTTTCAAGACGAGTGCTCCTGGCGAACCAACTACGGCAAACTGCGCATTGAGTCATGCATTCACGATGTTAACAATTGGATGTCACCCAATAAATTGATGCTCAATCACGACAAAACTGAGCTCCTTGTTTTGCTCGCCCGATATCGACCACAACCCCCGCTAGAATCTATTCGTGTTTGCTCAGATGTGATCTACTCATCGAACTCAGCAAAGAACATCAGTACGTGGTTCGACACTGTCTATGGACAAACAAATAAACAGCATATGCCAGTCTGCTTTCTACCACCTGCGCAACATTGCTCAAATCAATGAACATATCCCTTTCCTTCATTGTGAAACTTTGATCCACGCATTCGTAACATCCAAGATTGACCACTATAATACTACTCTGAGGTTTTAGGCAGGATCAAGTCCGAAAACTCTAGTACGTCCAGAATTCAGCAGCCCGACTTCTAACAGGTTCACGTAAACACGAACATATTACACCTGTGCTAAGAGATCTGCTTTGGTTACCCGTTCATGAGCTTACTCGTTTTAAAATTTTACTGACTTTTAAATGTCTTAATCAACTATGCCCGATGCCTATCTATGTGACCTCTTAATTCACTATAGACAATCAAGGACGTTACGTTCTTCTGATAAAGAACTACTGGTACAGGCCCGCTGCCATCTTAAAACATATGGGGAGCGAGCTTTCTCCTTTATTGCCCCAAAACTGTGGAATACAAAACTATGGAGTGCTGGCGACAACGATCGAAGGTCAAAACGCTTTTGCTCCATCAATCCACTTTGCGTAAGTTTCACGTGACAGATAGTCAAAACATGCGTGATCAGATTACGAGTAACAGAAGGTCCAGACGAGCGTTCTGTGTATTCCATTCATTCTTAGTGAAAGTACAAATGAATGCTGTCTACGTCTACATACATGCGACGCATGCGTAATAACAACCGGGAGATTAGAATTGCGGGCTCCTCTTGTCTCCCGCAACTAAGATTAATACAACTAAAGATGCCAATAAGGCGGTACTCTATATAATGATTCATATCTGTTGAGACGCATAACAAAGCTCAAAAGTGACAAAAAGAAATAAATTTTTTATGTCCTTCAGTCCAAACACAGCCAGGGGAAACAGTGAAAAAATCTTAATGGGTAAAAACTTCAGTCTTTTGTCATCCGCATTGCAGCGTACCTGGAAAACACCGTGGGCCGGGTTAGGATGACATTACAAAGTAATGAGTATTTGCGGCGGCTTACCACTTCGATAATTTGATGCAAAGAGACTCCAAGCGTAACAGTGACCTTGTCGCTTTGGTTCATAACAGGTCTCAATTCAGGATCATATCCAGAGCCAAACAGCTTCTTTCGTAGCCTCGCTTCAATGCCATCAGACTGGGTTATATCTGACGTTCTGTTCTCTGAAACAAATACGGTTGCCTGGTTATACTGATTCACGTTTTCTTCATGTCTGACATGCGAAGGAAATGATGAACTGTACTCAGCCTACTATTTCAGTCAAAACAAAATCAAATTGTTTTATTCAGATCTGTCTGCGTTTTTCCCTGATTTACGGTTTAGTTCATTACAATACATCTAAACTGATCTTGCAATGATATCACCTTTACTTTATAAAGCATGTGAGATGACATAAAGTTGCAGTTTTATCAGGCACCCAAGTTCCAAGTGCTCGTTCATTGACCCCAGAAAAATATGCTCGGTAATGAAGAAAGAAAAGCTAAAGGACTAAACCAACTGATTAAGGCGCAGCTGCCTCTGCCTCCCACTGCGCATGCTTTTGATTGCCGAAGTAAGTGCATCATGTCACAGTAGCAGCAGTCTACCATAGTTACTATATTGACGATTGACGATTGATAGGGATGGTGGGGCTGAATGTAATGATGTGCTTTTACACTTACATAAAAAAAAATTGTTCAGCATTAACAAGATGCCACTGGTTTTTCTTCGAAGCAGTTTCCTCGCTCAAAACACACGGTATTACTAGTCTGCTAAATTTTTAATCATTGATTGTTTGATTACGGAACCAACTCGCACAACAAAAAACAACTGAAACACTGCTGGACCTAATCCTGACGAATGACAAGAAAAAGGTCTTAACATCAGGCGTGGTAGACACGCAACTTAGTGATCATTCGTTGGTTTATACTATCCTGCGATCATCAGCACCAAGGACTCGATCTCGCAAGATTTGTTTTCGTAGTCTGAAAAACTTCAGTCGAGAGAACTTTGAATATGCAAATTGTGCCTTTCCACACTTGATGATAAGCTTTATGCTTTTGAGCAATTGTTTCTAAGTGTTCTCAACCTATCAAAGCAAACAATGATACGTGGTAATCAGGTGCCTTATATGACGGAACAATGGAGGAGGGCGATCAGGCATCGCAACAAACTTGGAAAAAAATTCACGCGCAATCGTACTGATGCAAATTACGAGGCATACAAAACTCAACGTAATACCTGCACCTCTCTTAGGCGAAAAGCAATAAAACAACACTTCGCGAGGAAAACAAGACACCGAACACCCGCGCGAATTCTGGTCTACTTTCCGCCCCTTTTGCATACTAAAAAGTAAGCAAGCCAATGACATTATCTTGAAAGAAAATGACAGGATTATTAGTGACAAAAAGGAGATTGCCAATCTGCTAATGCCTGAAATACGAGCAGAGGATTACGGTGAGGATTATGCAAATCATCCCAGCATCCAAGCAATCCATGAACACAGGGGCTCTAGTGCTCCAGCTTGCTTCAGTTTTCATCGCGCAAGTGAAACCCAGGTTGAAACAGGGTATAATAAACTGTTGCATTGAACATTGCTGTTATCCTGCTAGCTCTGGTTACTCCTCTGTACAAAAAAAAAGAAAACTGTAGGCCCGTAACTGTCTCCTGCCTAAACAATATTTTTGAAAGGCTTCTATGTATGAATTTTACAATGGGGTCTTATCAGACTTGGCGGGCTGTGCATGACAGGGGAGCTTGTTGCTAGTGGTATGGAACAAAAGTTGTGCCCTGTTATATCCTCTAGCAGAACTCAGAGAGTTAAAGTTGGAGACACCTGACCTGGGAAGATGGGGGGTCCCGCACCTATTCAACATTTTCATAAACGGTGGGATAGAAACAGGCCACAAATGTCTAATCCTCGAAACACGTCAGAGAAAAGATTAATACCTAACTTCGCAAAATCTAGGTTCGTTAATTTCAAATACAATGTATCTTACTTCAGTCAACTGTTTTAATACGCTTTTTCAAAGCGCATTAACTTGCCTGCCAGGGTCAAACATGTAGCTCGGCTAGTAACCGGCTTTATCTTTGCGGTGGTTGTGTTTTGCGGATTGGTGATGTTTTCGTATTTTGTGGTGTCGAAGTAATTTATGCTATTGGTCGAGTCTCTCTTTCACAATAGGAATTAATTTCTTTTGTGTTTCTTTGAAATTCTGTCAAGTGCAAATTTCGTGCGTTTATTTGAGTTACAAAGTAACAAAGGCAGGTACATTGTTTTGTCCATAGCCTAGGCCCTAAATATCTAATAGAGTGCTTGCCATAGGTGACTGTCTCATACCTAGGTACAAAGGTACATTGCCGTTGTCGTTCTATAAAAAAAAACTTGAAAGTAGTTTGCATCCTTAGAAATCAACTTCTCTATTTAAACTTTCGGGGGCAGTGACTGTAATTTTTTCTACCATGCAGGTTTGGGCGTATCAACTTCTAGTTATTTTTGCGGAAGTTTTTCTTCGGAACGTATTTGTGAAGAGAGAAAAAATTTGCAAAAGATAATTATTATCGTCCCACGGTCAATGCATTTTTAGGTTTTTAATCGCTTTAAAATTTATCTCGTCATCCACATTGGAAAATGTGTCCAGAGATCACAAAATATTGAAATAAAATTTTAAAAGGGACAGGTTCACGGTTCAGCACATGCTCATTTATCAAAATGCTGTATCGTCTATGCAAGCAATATGATCATGTTGTAATGATGTCAAAGAACCAATCTGCACACACCCCTGGCAGTCACTTGATCAACGTGTGTGCAAATAACTGTAAATTAATCAACTATAGAATAAATCCTAATGATGTCAAAGAACCAATCTGCACACACCCCTGGCAGTCACTTGATCAACGTGTGTGCAAATAACTGTAAATTAATCAACTATAGAATAAATCCTTTGGGTCAACAATAAATTCAACGTTGGTATAATGTAGCGTTGACATAATCCACCAATATTTTTCTGCGATTTTATTACTCCTTCATGATCCTACTCCATGTTACTCTGAAACACACTTCTACTTTGAAATACACTTTGAGATCGCTGAGATACATGTGAGTGGAATTATTAACCGATAGAATCAATAATAAAAGGAAAAAAGTAATTTAATTAACGAGCATGCACTTAACCGTGAACCTGTCCCTTTAAGATCAATTTAGTAGAAGATTGGAGACTGGCGAGGGATCGAAAACAGGTTGTGAGCATACTTTCAACTGACATGTCAAGGCATTTGACTCGTTACACCCACCACTACTTCTGAACAAGCTTGAAGCGTACGGTTTTCAGGAAAGCGCTATTCAACTTTTAAACAGCTATTTAAATGAACGGAAATATCAAGTAAAGATCGGCCGTCATGTTAGTTCGAGCCGATTCGTGATTCGTGGCTGTCCTCAGGGTTCCGCGCTTGGCCCGTTGTTATGGAATGTTTTCCAGAATGACCTATCCTACTGCCTAACAGCGAACTTGTCTATGTATGCCGACGACCATCAAATTTACCACGCAGGAGCAGACCAGGCAGCTGTGACTTCCCAGTTAAAGGATAGTGCCAACTTAGCAACAACGTGGTACGATTCTAACTTATTGGCGGGAAACCTCAAAAAGTACCAAGTTTTGAACTTGGGCTTCACTCAAAATGACAGCAATATTTGCGTGAATGATGTTGTGATTGAAACTAAAGATAATATCATACTTCTAGGAGTAGTGTTACTTTTCTAAGCTAAATTTCTCTGAGCATGTAATCTCTATCTGTAAAAAAGCCAGCCAGAGAATTGGTGTTCTAATGAGACTACGTAATTTAATTCCTATGAAATCTAAGTTAATATTATTCAAAAGCGCGATATTACCATTCCTCACGTACTGTCACCTAGTGTGGCATTTTTGTAAAGCGAGTGACACTCGAAAGCTTGAAAGACTACAAGAAAGAGGACTTAGAGCGGTTTTCAAGGATAATAATTCTAGTTATGAACAACTATTAGAGAAGGCAGATCTGCCAACACTACTAAATAGTCGCTTACAGGATCTGTGCATCCTTATGTATAAAGTAAAGCATAAACTGTGCCCTGCATATATAAGTAACATCTTTAAAGAACCAAATAGTAATTACAATCTGCGGCAAGCAGATTTCTCTATACCTAGGTATGAGACAGTCACCTATGGCAAGCACTCTATTAGATATTTAGGGCCTAGGCTATGGACAAAACTACCCAAGAGTATCAGGGACGTCACAACCCTAACGTCGTTTAAAAGCAAGATACGCCAACTCAATATAAGTGAACTTTTAGATGACGGCTGCGCAGGCTGTAGCCTTTGTTCATTTTGACTTCTGTGTATTTTTACTATAAATCTCTTAATTAGTTAACTATAGATATTTTACCTACTACTGTATATAGTTTTTAGTTTGTATATTCTCCCCTAATTGGTGTCCCCAAATTAGTAAGGGATTTGTTCCCTGGCTAGACGGTTTTTGACACTTTAATAAAGTTTCTATTCTATTCTATTCTATTCTAAGTAGAAAAGTTGCTAAACAGGTGCAAGATGAAGCTCTTTTCAGTGTTAATGCCTTTGCTTTGTATCCTAGCAGAAAAAGACATCTAATAGGTGTATATATGTCACGATGAAACAATTAAATAGCTATGAAATCTTACAGAGAGATAAAAGGAGGTCCTTTTTTAGAAAACATCAGTAGCAGCATTCAGCTGGGCAAACAAGACCAAACAATATTTTCCTTAACTGCCACCATGAATAGAGCAAATGTGCTCAATATTGTGTGAATAAAGTTTTTACCTCTCTCTTTAAATTACGTGCGAGAGCTGTGTTCAAAAATTGACGCTTTTAGCAATTGTTTTCTTTTCCTGAAGTTAGATTGATAACAACTGTTTACTGACTAAACAAGCCTGAGATCTAATGCATCGTTTTGGTTCACCTTCCATAAGTATGCTAAGCCAAAACGGTTTGAAAAAAGCTGTTTAGAGTTCATCCTCATCAACTAGACTTAATAGTTTAATTCTGACACCACAGGAAAGACCAATACTTGTTAACTTATGGTCACTTATCAAAATTTGACTCATCGAAAAATGGGCTCTTAACAATGATAAAAACATATCAGTGCTGAGGCGGGCGTCACCATTTCCGTAATTTAGCGAGAAGTTCGAGTTACAAGCACAACACTTTACGGCAGTAAGTGAAAAAAGT